GGGCGCTCGGCGTGAGCGCCGCGGCGGAGAGCCGCGCTCGGGAGGGCAGGTTTCGTTAGAGGTACGTGTGGAGTTGCTGTTGCTCGAGCAGGCTTTTAATCACGTATTTTTTAAAGTTAATCTTTCATATCTGCCGGTGCAGCCAAGGTCACCTTGAGCACAGGGAGGACGCTTTTCGCTTTTGCCGTTTAGACGTTCGTTAGCGTTTTGTTTATTGGGTGGTTTAAGTATTAATTTGCCTGAGTACTAATTAAAAAAAAAAAAAAAAGGGGCAAATTGAGCGTAAGAGCCAGCAAAGAGAAAAGGATAACTTGTGTGCTTAGGCTGTGTAAAGGTAAGTGCGTGCATGGATAGACTGGCTCAAACTCCAGTTTGTGTCGGAACTCCTTACGTGGAGGTGTGACGGGAGAGGTTTGTGTCTGCTTGGGGAGGACGGTAAGGAAGACAAAATGCTGGACTGAAGTTTTAGGCCTTGCACTTGCAAATGTCAGCACACTGCGTGGGAACAGCCTCGTTCCTGACGGCTCGTAGCTTGGCCACGATATAAGTTTCTTTGTGGTGACAAATGGAAGAGGCGGTATCGCCACTTTACAGTAGAGTCTCTAGATGAAAATGCTGAGATTCATATTTCAGCGGCTCTCCGTAACAAAGCAGTTTGGTTTGTAGCCTTTTGCACATATACCATACAATGCAAAGTTATTTTGGTATGTTTAGCCTACTTTCTTTTTTCTTTGGCCAAGGGAGAATTATTTACTGTGCTTAGTATATGAACTATAAAACTTCCATTTTAAAATAATAGTGCAAGTTTAGACTTCTTTACTGCTTTTCAATCCCACAAGCCCATAATGTCGCTTATGTCAGCAGCACGTTGAGATTTATGGATGTGCTTTTATATAGAGCACTTCATCCTCTGGGGAGTTTGAAAACTGGTTTGACTACAGCTAAATGAGACACACAAAATACACTGTGAGATAGGATTGGGAGAGAACATTAATGAAATTTTTTGTAGATAATAGGTGTCCTTGAGAAGCAAATGATGAAAGAGTTTGGGTCATGGAGTACAAGCGAATAGTAAACTTTTGAAAGTGGCTGAAATGTGCATGCTTGTGGCTGAATGGTTTAAACCGTGCAGTGAAGAACCATGGAAAAGCATAAAGGGACTGTACTGACCTGTAATGGGAAGAAGAGCAGGGAGAGGAAAACATGCAGGTAGTTGACAGGTGTGCTGTGTTTATGGAAATCGAATGTGCTGGGTTTTTTATCATATTAAAATCAAGCTGATTTCTGACTGCAGTGAAACTTTTCAGAACCTCACTTTTACTGAAGGGTGCGAAAGTAACAGTTTGCTAATTTTTTGCTAGACACCCATCGCTGAAATTATGTGTATATATGTTTGTGTACATATGTTACTATTTTATAGCTTCTGATCTTCAGTTCAACTCCTGTGTCATGGATGAAACTGCTTTGTCCCTTGGAACAATAGATGTTTCCTATTTGTCCACCTCAGCAGAGTGCAGTATCAGTAGATGTAAGCATTCCAGTGAAGAATGGGTAAGTTAAAATTGTGAATGTTACTGGCCATATTTATCTTATTTTTTTCTTCGAGTCAGAGGCGGACTTTTTTTAAAAATTATTATGAAGAATGCAGATAAGGCATCGCCTCTCATGCATGATACAGTTTGGTTTTAGTTTAACTTGAAATGTAAGAGGAACAAACAGTTCAGTGCTCTGCCAGAGACTAATGTTGCTAGTAAAGAAAAGCTCTGTCAAACCCTATTGATAGTCTTAGTCTTCTGGTGTGATGTTTCTAATCATTTAATATAGCAGTAAATGTGCAGATTCCCATTCTGGAGGAGACTGAGGTAAAACAAAGTCAAATAGAAAGCTCCTTGCTGTTCTGAAGGATTTAGTTTGAAATGCGCAAGTGAGAAGGAGCGTGAAACTAAAGATGTGTGGTCATGTAGCCTTTGAAGCTGGAGCTGTTCATGCCTCACAGGAGGCAGAGAAAATAAATAAAATAAATACATGTATTTATATGAATATAAAAGTCTCTGTCCTCTGTTGAGTGAGTCTTGGGATTTGGAGGAGACAGAGAGGGCAGTGAGTAGAGAGGGCTGGGTGGAGCAAAAACAGCCACATGGGGACTGGGCTGGTACTGGTTGGTTTAGAAGCGCAGATCAGGAAGAATTAGGCTTGACTCTGGAGAGGAGGAGTTTGAACTTGATACAGAAGAAGAGTTGGAGACATGGTCAGAGTTGAGGGAAAGGACAGATGTCCCGGCAGCTGGGTTTTCTATCTAGCTAGATATAAGTTGCGTCAGACAGCAAGCTGCGGTAACCAAGAGATCTGTGAGAGAGTGGGACAAAGGCAGGTGAGATAAAAGAGATAGGAAGGCGGTTTTGTAAGAAAGTGGTGGTGAGTTCAGTCAGGGCTTGAAGGCGAGCAGAAGGAAGACAGTGTTGTTACAAAGTTGGTTAATTTTGGAGTGGGCATTATGGAAGGTGATGGAGAAGAGATTGGGCCGGGCTTAGCATCTTGATGCTCGTTTATTTCAGATGGAAGACTTATCCTTGGAATAATTGCCAGTTCATGCTGCTTGCTAAGTGTCATATATGCCCAGTGTAGTTTTTGGACATCTTCAGCGTTTGTTTTGACTTTCTGGTTTCTCACTGGGCTGGATTTCCAGCTGAGTATGTGATGGTCCATATTTGTGTTTTCCAACCCTTATGCTGGTTTAAGCTATTGGTTCGACCCTGCTTCTCTTCCACTTAAATGTGCTACTTTAAACAACTTTTTGGTGGTGTCTTGGTTTGTTTCTGTAACTTCTCTTTTAATAAAAACAGAATATATGGTTCAGAGAATAGCAATCCAGTGCTCATTCTCAGGCAAGCAATAATTCAGTAGACTTTGTAAAAATTGTAGTTAAGTATATTTTCTTTATGGCCTAACAGAGAATGTGTTCTGTGAATGCAGTTACTTTGGATTTCTTGGTTCTGTAATCTTCAGAAAGATAGCATTACATCGGGGAAGGCACAGTGGTTGCTTTTTCGTATCACTTTGCTGAAAAAGAGCCTACAGAGTCCACGGAGTTAATATTTTGCGTACGTTTGTCTTCTTGCAATTTTACAGGGTGATGTCCAGTTAAAGCTTAAAATACATTGCTCATGTTACAAGCACTCTACATTATTGAGAGTGTAATTTACTGATAATTTCTTCCACTTTTCTTGGCTGTCAGTTTCCTTGCTGTTTCTTATTAGAGTTATTATTTATTTTAACATTTTGTGTGTCAGCAAATGCTGCAGCGCTTAAGATACAGAAGTACTACCCTGTGATTTTGCTTTTATGTTTTAATATCACATCATCTGGAGGTAATATAATTTCTTTTAGAAAAATCTTGGAAAAAATTGTGTTAGTTTTGCGTAATTTTTAGGGGGCTAATTTTTTTTTTTGTGTCTGGCAACTCCTCTTACTCAAAGTTCTCACATACACAGTGAAACATACATTTCTGGATATTTACACAGTGGTCTTCTGTTCTGCAGGGAGAGTGTAACTCTAGGCCCACTTTCCGATCTGCCACTTTAAAATGGACAGAGACTCTGCTGAGCAGAAAAAGGCCGTTTGTGGGACGATGTTGCTACGTTTGCACTCCCCAGAGCCGGGTAAGAAGATTACAGACTGGATTATGTTTGACAATAATGCATAGTTGCAGCGTAATGAAGTTTCAGTAGTTTTCTTACTTTCAGAATTAAGGTCACAATGTTCTTAATTCACAAGGAAATATAATTTTTCACCTTTGTGGTTATATTTTCTTTGTCATGGAATTAATGGATGACACAGAACTATTGTCATGCTTTGTCTCCCACTTTTTAATGCAGACTTATTCCTTGCACATAACTCTCCAGCTCTTTAGAATTAGCACTAGGAAATTGTATGGAAAAAATTATTTGCTAGATTAATAATAGGAATTTGGTGTATATGAAAGTATTAAGGCTTACTTTTAGGACACTTAATTCTCTATCCACAGAGGAAGTACAGTTTTGAAAGTAAGCAATATGCTTCCCTTCAAACTTGAAGAGATCAATCCTGTGCTTGAGAAGGACGTGTTGGTTTTCTACACCTGGATGATTCCTGGCTTCTCTGCCAAGCCTGGAAATGGGAAATGCAGTTAGGATAGTTGGAATATTTGTCTACTGGGAACAGTGTCAAGATGGTGGCTCTAGAGAAGTTGCGCAAGCTGATTTAAAATGTGAACTTTATTGAACTGCATTGGGCAGGCTTTCCATAAGCTGAATATGCAAAACGCTGATAAATGGCATAATATAGTTTGCAACCGGTTCATCATGTAATTTGGCTATATGTACACCCTGGGCTTTAAACTGCACTCAGTTACACCTGCGCTGAGCTCCATGATTTGTCTGGATTCAGTGAAAATTTACTTGTTTCTTTGACCAAGTAAAAGTTGTTGTTTCACTCTGTTCCAATGCCAGAATAGAAAATTGCAGCAATGGCATACAAACATGGGATAGAAATCCAAATGTGCTGTGAAGGCTACAGACGATATGAGCAGCAAGACAAGCGATTAGATAAACTGTGACTACTTCTGACAGACACTTAAGTGTTCTGACTTGTGAGAAGGTGTGTAGGAATCCTCAACTTAGGGCTTCATAAATTTAGTAATTAGTCTATTCCTCTCAAGTTGGGAATTATCCTTTAAAAATAAAAATCTTGTTCTGTATTTTGTCCGTTAATAAGAAACTAATTAACTATCCTGAGATCCCACTTAAGAACGGGCCATGACCTTATTAAGCCCTCTGTTGCCTTCTGCCACAAGGAGAAAATACCATCCTTGCAGCAGACAGTAACAAACCAGATCCTCTCATTAGACTCCAGATACTTCACTTTTGTTTGAGCTGCCTGTTTTGTTAATTCCCTTAAGGAAAAGGGATGGATGAGTGAGACAGATTTCTTTAAGTGTGTTGGCCAAACTAACAGCTTGTCAGTGCTGGGAGTGGGAAGTCCTGCTTCTCCCTCTTGTTTGCCTTCCTGCTGTCCTGGGGGCTGATCAAGTTCACTCACCAAGCAGAAAACTGCCTGCTTTATTTATTCATTTAGTGTGTCTGTCTTAGTTTTCTGCGTTGCCTGAATGAAGTTGGCTTGTTAAGGGGTGTGATGAATGCTAGAGGTGGTATAAATTAGGAGGTGAGCAATAGTGTTCAGTGGGAAAGGGTAGGATGTGGTGGCAGGAGCTGGACTTCTTCCTTGCTGCAGCAGAAAAATGCTTTATCAGCCCACTTGGTCTCACAGAACCACATCCTCTGCCTGACACAGGATCGGGGAAGAGTTAAATAAGGAAAAGCTAAAGTGTGACATTACAGCTGGAGGATGGATTTCACAGAGTAAGGTTATAACCTAATTGTTAGAGCACTGGAATGGACTTGGGCATTCAGTGGTGCTTAACTTTGTTGCTCATTTTTGGGAAACGAAGAACAAGTCATATCACTTCTCTGTGTCAGAACATTTAATCAGCTTTAAGATCCACAAAAAATTACCAGCGAATAGTCAAAGAAGTTAGCATTACCTTGAAATTTCCTCTTAAAAGCCTAGAGCAACAATTTGTTGATTGTATGTGCTATGCAGTTATGCTTTAACATGGGGCAAAAGACTGTGTGCTCCCACTGTAGCACATAATTACTACCTGATTTGCAGATTACATAGGACACTCATATATTTTAATTTGTGGCAAATGATGTGTCCTAAACAAAACACAAACAAATGAGACTCTTATCTGACTCCCGTTGCAAAATTGATAGTGGGGCTGTTCTGCAGCTATGCTGTTGCCGGTAGCCGTCTTTCTCCTTCCCTGTCCTGTGTTTGTCTTCCTTGACCTGCACAGTCCCAGTGGTTTTAGCTGTAATTCACTGTTGGCATGGTACCAGTTTTATAATTAAATATTATTTGGGCAGAAAGAAACTACCCTCTCGGTCAAAGTGCTTACTTGGAATATGGAAGATTAAAGTTTAGGTCTTCCTGCCAAGGTTGTTTATCCGAAGTAGAACTGCTCCCAAGCTCATCCCGGAACAGTTAATAGCCTGGCATGTAGAGTCTGTACCAG